CCTTCAAGTACACGTACGAAAAGGTGGGGGGCCAGGGCTCGGGGTCGGGGCTCAAAGTAGTGACACTGGGGATGGGGTCGGGGGGATACATCGTGTGGGTGTTGCAGGAATGAGGTTTGTACCTGGAAAAGCGGCATGCGGGGGCTTGGTTGTGGGCTTTTTTTGGGGGGGGGGGATATACAAGATCGAGGGTGAATGGAATGCAAGCCCACCCATGGGGAGGCAAGATGGGGGTCCAGCGCTGGGGTAGCAGCCCGGGATGGCGCCTGTAGACGCGCGCGCCGCCTGCCGTCTCAGGCACCCATGCGTGCAGGGAGCACGCAGGGGAGCCTACCTCAAAGCGCCCCCTCGTCAACCCCAACCAACCCCCAACCACGCCCTAACCAACCTCAAACCAACCCCCAACCAGCCCCATCCACCTCAACCGCCCGCCCACACACGTCAATCACCCCATGACCAGCCCCATAATCACCCCCCCAAAAAAACCAACCCCCACCCCCCAGGAGATTGTCATGTACGCGTACTTCAAGCGCCTGGACTACTTCTCAACAGAGTGCGTCTACGCGCCCTTTGCGGCGCGCGGCTTCGCCCGGGACCTGGTCAAAGACCTGGAGGTGCGGCAGAGGGGTGGGGGGTGTTGTAATACCAGGGCATCTTTGTTGTGGGGTTCTGTCTGGGTGTGCGACGTGGGCAGTTTGAAAGGCTTGTAGGCTTGCGCAGAAGGGGTCCTCAAGGGGTGATTTTTTTGTTGGAGAGTGTGCGGGGGGAACGAGAGTGTGGGGAGAGGGTACCATAGGACTTGAGGGAGGGTGCCTGGGGCCTGGTCAAGGACCCGGAGGTGGGGCGGGGGGCAGGATGAGGGCGACGTCATCCTGGGGCGTCTTTATGGGTTAAAGCAGGGTGGGGGTGCGTTTTGGGTGCGCGCAGCAGCCGGTTTTGCAAGGCTCGGAGGCTTCGGCAGGTGGGTGGTTGTGTGGGGTCCACTAGGTGTGCTCTATTCGGTGAAGCGCGTGTGCGGGGAACGAGCGCGTTGCGGGAGGGAGGGTGCAAAGTGGCCAGAGGGAGGGTGCCAGGGACCTGGTCAAGGACCCGGAGGTGGGGCGGGTTTCGATTGGGGGGGGGGGCGCGGCGAGAGACGGGG